TTTTTTATTTTTATCACATTTTACTCACATTTTATGTAATTTAAATTTAAAATTTTTTATTTTAATAAAAAAATTATTATTAAATTATTTAGATATTTAGGAACAATAATGGTATTTATTTATAATATCCTTAAAAAAGAAATAAAAGAAAATAGATTTTTTTTTTATATTGATTACACCCCTTTATTTCAACATTTTCACATTTTATGTAATTTAAATTTAAAATATTTTACTTCTAATGAAAGAAAATTATCATTGAATTATTTAACTTTTTATCTATAATGTAGATTATTAATACATGACAATCATTTCATCTACTATGATTTTTTTTAAAGCCATATTATATATTAATTTTTTAATGTTCATATTATATATTAATTAATATATTATTTCACAGTATTTTTAATTTTATTTTCATATTATAATAAAAATAATATCCTAACAAAATTATATATAAACATTTATGTCTTAAGTTTACTAATAATGTACATATTCTCTTCAACTAAGTTTTACGATTGGATAATTATAAGTGTTATAGTAAAGTACCGTAATAAAGTGCACCCCAGTATCAGGTCGGGGTTTGAATCTCTCTTCTCCCAAAATCTAAACCCGTCAAAAAAAAAGAATTAATGTACATATTCTCTCGCACTTAGGCCTTTGGCCTAGTGGTCTCAGGCCATCCGTAAATGCATTTTCTCTTCTTTTGGGCAACGGTTTGAATCTGGTTCCTTATAAATTTGTTAAAAAAAAATGTACATATTCTCTCACACCCCAATTAAGACAAAAAAACAATGAAGCAAAAAAAAAAAAGAAGTGAAAATGAGAAAAGCCTCTTAGAGCTAGAGTTGTTTGCCCGAAGTGAGGTTTAACATAACATTGCTTGCGTGTAACTTTTATTTAAGCGATAAATGATTAGTTTGTATTAAATAAATTATAAAAAATTTCATAAATTAATAAAAATTACTAGAAAAAATTCTACTTTAAAAGTTTGTTCCTTCTAACTTTCTAAAAACTAAAAATAGCTTGTAAAAAAGCCATAAACACTTATGAAAGATCATTTTTAGCCTAATCTTAACTTTAATGATAACCTTGTTTTAACAGCAAAATCAAACATGCATATGGAAATGAAAATTTTCCTCCTCTTATACTGCATTGATAAGCATTCACCATACATCTATTATCCAAGTAAAAGAATGTAACCTACATATTGTGTGTAGGGAATACGTTTAAAATGCTATACTATAACCTCGTTAAGGATCAAACTTTTTAGTTGCCTAACAAAAACCCTTTATCAACTAACTAGGGCTATATATGATCAAAACTTTTTAGTTGTCTAAGAAAGCCTTTTATCAACCAACTAGGGCTATATATAATTCATCCTTTTCAGCAATTAGTGGCAAAAGGGTGTAGCCACACTAGTAGGGAGAAAAGTGGAGCTCCTTTTAACAAACCGGTTGTTATGAATTTGGTGCATGTTTGGTTTGGAGGGGACGACTTAATTTGTTTGGTTTGCACAATCTTTTGGATTGTAATGATTGAGCACTAATTCAGGGATAAAGGAGAATGTGTGTTATAAGTTTGGAAATCAATTCATTTACAAAGTTATCTCAAAATTAAGTTTCATAATTTACCCCAACAGTAATTATGATTGATTCTTTTTATTAGGTGAATTGTGAGTTTAAATAAGTATATGTTTCATTTATTATGTTAATATTGTAAAATTCTGATATAAAATGACATTGTGGGTGTAGTATCAAACAACAAATAATTAAGTTTAGTGGGCATCAATGTTCCATTTTAATCCTATTTATTGTAAGCTAGATTAAGATCCTATTGTGCAATAATAATATAATGATCTGCAAACAAAACGAGAGTGGTGGTATTGGAGAACATTTATATATTGTCCTTGGCCACACAACCATATCACCGGTATGGAATGATAGATTGACAACTAAGAAGATTAAAAATGGAAAGCCTTTGAGGATGATTGATCATTATGGACGATGTGCATGGAAGTGATGGATGCCCTCATTAAGAAATACATTTATTGGAATAATTAGGGTTGTTAGGATCAATAGCTTGTTTCTTTGAATAAAAAGAGTTTGATTTTTTTTTAAAATAAAGTTTTTATTTCAAATTTTACAAATGAAAAGATAAATACTATAAAAAATTTATTTTTTATAAAATTTGATATGATTTGATTCTGGATTAAGGGAGATTTAATGTAATATCCCAACATCAAAAAGTTTAATAATAGAAAAAGGAAGGGTCGTTAGGTGATTCACGTTAACATCACCGACTCTACTTACCCGAATACACTGCCCTGCAACTTCTGTCGTCAGTTTTCTCAACCTCTTTGGATGCTGGTCCTGGTCCATGCTACGCTCTACCTCTACTTACTGCCTAATATGCCAAGACGTACTGCTGCTTATGCCAAAGGCAGGATTTCATCTAATTACCCAAGAGTTGGATATATTAGTAAATAATGTTATCTTATAAAATAAGTTTAAAATTTAAGTTTTAGGACCAGTATAAAGGTAATTCATTTTTTTAAATTCATCGATATGATGTAGAGGTGCACCTTGAGATAGTTTGGAGAAGAATTAGTTTTGAAATATTCAAAAATTAACTTAAAAACATCTTGATTATAAATTTAAAAAGAATACAATTTTATCAATATCACATAACACACATAGAGTCTCTTAAAAACATTCTAGTAATTAAGAACTTGTATGCTCATATTAGAAATCTTAAGTTATTATATTTTTATGTTAAAAATCTTAAATTTAAATTTTAGAAAGGACAAAAAAAAAGAAAAAAGGAAGATCATCCCCTAACGTACACAAAAAATAAAAACACACACACAAACATGGAGACGAATGGCTTTAGCTTAGGGCCTCCCCTTCAGACGCCTTACTGGCAAGATTCCCTCACATTAAATTCAATAATTACTTAATTAATTCTTTACCGAAAAAAATAATTAGTTAATTAATTCTTTACCAAAAAAGACAATGATTAGTTAATAACATCTACAGATGCCTTTTATTGTAATTAGTAAGCGATCTTGAGAATGATACAAGCATTTGGAAAATTAGAAAACTGAAGTAGAGATCAGGCTTACCAAGTTGCATTAATATTGCTCTCTCAGATTTCACTGGTGAGAATTCTCTGAAATTGTTTTTTTGAATTCTCCATGGAGGAACATTACAAAAGAAGAAGAAAGAAGAAGAAGAAAAACCCTTATACTGAGTTTGTGGCATTTCAATGCCTAATGCCTACCAATGAGTTTGTGGTTTCATGTCAAAGCATCCAAAGTCAAGACACTAGCTGTTTCCTGTGAATACCGTACCTCTCTCAAGATTGTAGAAATTACAGCACCGACTCTGAAACACTTCTTTGCATCCAATCCTTTCAATGAACATCGTTGTAGGATCAAGGTGGGATGTTTTAGCTTGGTAACCTTGGTGTTATTCAAGTATGTTGCCACGGATAGAACCATTCAGAATCTTGTTGTAGGATCAAGGCGGGATGTTTTAGCTTGGAAACCTTGGTGTTATTCAAGTATTTTGCCACAGATAGAACTATTCAGAATCTCGTTTCCAAATTTCCATTTGCTTGAGAATCTTTGGATTTCCTATTCTCTGGAACTATTCAAGGCTATTATTGTTTTCCATGTATTCATACCCCAACAACAACTTTTTTGTGGATACTAGGACAACACCAGATTAGGGTAGGGTGTTGCAGACCTAAGAAAGTATCACAGCAAAGCAAGGTGCCTCTTGTTGTTTGATGGAAGGGGCATGCCTTTGATGAAATCAGACTTAGGAAAGTCCTGTGATTCAATTTGTGCAGTGGAATGTGAAACGTTTTTCTACTGCTCATTATTCTATTTTCATAAATGGAGCTGCATGTGACTACTTTAGTGCTAAATGATGTGTTAAAGATCAATTCTGGTATGAATCAAGTGTGTATATATCTCTGGCGCTACTGGTGTTGTGAAGCAGCAAATAATTGACAATTGATTAGGCCAAGGCTTTACAAATGAGGAATTGATCATTCAAACCCCTTATTACCCATGGCTCTAACAGGAGTTGCTATAGGAGCTGGTTAAAACTATCTTGTCCTCTCGGATGCAGTAGATACATGCATAATCTCTAGACATAGCCATGTGCATATATGTACATTTATATTCCAACATCACAAACTTTTAATGGATGTGTATGCAGAGACATGAATATCATAGCACTCGCCGTCCCAAGAGAAGTCCCTTGCCATGGCATCCATTATCTTCTGCTTCCATGCAGATGGGTTATTCATCTACCAAAATATGTGACAAGACGGTTTAAAAGATTCAGTGCTCAGGTGCGGAATGAAACATATTGTAAGTAATTTCTGATGTCATGTAGCAGCTAATCTTTATGATTGCATATGGAGATACTCACAATTTCATTGAGGGCTTGAGTGAGAAACATGTTTCCAAAGGTAGAACTTATGAATTCGGAGAATCTAGTGACCTCATCATGGTCATGATGTACAGGATGTCTGTAAAGACATAGCACAAAGAAAAGTTACAGATCATTCTCCTTTTCATATTCATAGATGTAAAATTGCAGAAGTAGTTTGGTTTATGTGCTTCAAAGGTCTCTAGTAATTACTAATTAGTTACCTGAACATCTTTTGATCTGCAGTTATTGCAATTGGAGCAGCTCCATATTTTAGAGCCTTAAGCTATATTTCAAACATTACACCCAAAAAACAAAAAATTCAGAACATAATGCACACAGGTAAAATGTTAATAACTACAACCATAAAAGAAAGATAGTGTGACGAATGGAGCACTTGGTTTTGGTTAAAGAACACCATGTATAACTTACTGGCACTTGGAATAAAGGATCATGAAATGACTGGCACACTATAATGTCAGATCCTGCATACATCAAATGGGATAGATCTTCATCATATGCGTATAAGAATTTCACATTTCCACCCTGGAGAGAATATCAAAGAGAATATCAAAGAGATATTAGCAACAGAAGGAATAAGGGGCAACAATCTTAGCCAAAAGTGGTTTGAGGAAAGTCAGGAGAAACTATTGCTCTGACATCAAATCAATCTACCATAAAATAATAATCAGTTTCTTTCGGGTTAAATAATCATGGAAAATTCTATTGAAGCATTATGGCATAAAAGGAAAGAATTATCCTCTAACCTGTGGTGATTGCTCAGAATGTATGATGCTATGTACAAAACTATTTTGAGATGTCAAAGAATGATTATTGACAACAAGGAGAGAATGTTGTACCTTGAGCTCCTCCTTGAAAGATTCTAGTGATCTGTTTATAGCTGGGTTTACAATATTCCCCATGAAGAAAAACTGTAGGTAACCATAATGCAAATTATGTTTATTACCAAAATCAGAAGAAGAAATAAAATTTACAGAATATCTTTACTGAATGCTATAGCTGACATGGAAAATAGTTCTCAGCATAAACCTGGGCTCCTAATTTTATAGCATTCCAGACAACTGCTTTCAACTTCTCCAAATCAAGATCTAATACTCCTGGGAAGATGCATCCAACCTGGTAAAAATATCATTTATTTGAAACAAATCTGAGAGTGTGCAGACTAAAAAAATTGAATAGATTCCATCACAACTTCTCAACTGAAATAATAACACTTCGTTTCCTCCAGCAGCTTTCCCAACAAAGCCATTCAGATCACCATGGTATAAATTGTAATATAGATTAAATTACCCTAACAATAAATAAATAAATAAATAAATATATATATATATATAATTTGAAGGGCTTGAATGCAGCACTTACAAGAATAGTAGAAGCCTGCTGAGATAAACCCAACCGCTGCTGCAATGCAACTTTGCAAACAGCTTTTCCCTTCATGTCTTCTGCACTATAGCTTACTGGAAGACATTTGTCCTTGGAGGGATCCCAGGTGGAATTATCAAATCCACAAGGAGCAACATGCAACTTGTCCCTTCAGCCACAGGTAAACAACATAAACGGGAAAAGATACACTTGAATGTAATGCTTTAAGATACAAGGGATCAAGTTTGATAAAAATGACAGTATATAATTTTCTATATGGGCAAAGAAGTTAGAGCTTAGCTATTGCAGAGTTTGAACCACTAACTATATCCCCAGAATCAAGGTTTTGAAGTTAGCAGGCGTCAACTCAGCTAAGTTCTTTTTACCCAAAAATGAAAAATAAACTCAGCTAAGATCTTGTTAGTAGAGAAAAATATGACCAATCAATATGTTCTATAAGAAATTAAAATGTCATTTCCAGTTGCAGAAGTGGAGAAAGAATAAAATAAAACCTACAAGAAGACATAATTCAGAATTGATGAGATTTACTTGTGAGTGGCTAAGGTAGGTTCCAGTCCATGACCCATACTATGAATGATCCTTCCTTTAGAGTGTATTGAAGACATAATTATAACTTCGTTGGAATAAACTATCCCACCCTGCAGGTTTCATTGAAAATAAATGCTCACAGCTGGACAAACAAAATCAGCTGAATGCTGATGATGTATTTATGATTTAGCAAAGTAGGAAGCAGTATAGGATCAGAATATGAATGCTGAAGATCAGAAGATGCAAAGATAATGAAGACATGACAACAAAGCTCATTATAATAACTTTTTAAAGATTTTGGATTAGGCATCTTACTCCTCACTCATTGCAATATTGGATTGGATAAAAAACTGTTCTAACTTAATTTTCTCTTGTACCTAACACAATTATTACTTCTTCCTCGTAAAGAATGGTGAAGAATTTTTTGTTAAATCCCAAGACACTAAAATCATTGCTGTTCTTTAAATTTGTTGTAACTCTTTGGAAAACAATTTTTTCCCCATCAGACTCTGCAAATTACCTTAAAACAAGGATGAATCTAGAACACTAAAATCATTCCTCTTTTCGACTTTGTTGCACCCTTTAGAATTGGGTTATATATATAATCTGATAGTTTTCATAATTGATGTGGTTCACTTATATCTCATAAGAAGAGACAGAAGTTCATGTTTACCAGACATTTTGAAAGGTTTTTTTGATAATAGCATTTTGAAAGTTGGAATGAAAGATATTGCCAACACCAGCAATACGTTCAGAAATCAACTTTTATATATCTAAGCAAAATGCAGGAGTTTGCTCCAATTTTAAATTCAAAAAGAATGACTCCAGAAAAGACCAATTGTAAAATGTAGAGGCTTTCACCTTCAAGATGTTCACCAGATGTGTCTTGGCATTATCTTGCAAACGATCAGGACGGTTTAGCCTACTAGGATCCAGACCACATAGAGCAAGCTTATCAGGTTGCTCAAGACACTAAATGTTAATAAAAGAAAACATTAGGGGAAAATAAACAGAAAAGCCATAATTATATAATTTAATAGGAAAACTAAAAGCCAGGGAGAGGCATTTAGTAACCCACCTGTGAGTCGAGGCCATGGCATGTTAATAGAATTCTAGTGCCTCCAAGGCCCTGCACATATACAAGCAAGAAAGAGACAATAAGATAAACAAAGTTAAAACTGGTATTGCTCCAATGTCTTCCCACAAGCCACAATATTCTAAACTAACAAAAAGCTGGAACATCAACAAGAAGAAAAAGTCAGCTGTCTCAAATTATGCAATGCTTTAAATCAAATTGGTCTTAGAGAGTTGCCTCTCAAAGAAAACAGCAATAAACGACATAGAATTTGAGTCTTTTGAAAACACTTAATACTTTCAGAGCTGAATATAGTTTGCTAAAGTTCCAGAAAGATAAGCCAGTCATGCCATACCTTCACAGCTTCACCATAAATCTATTCGACCCCTCATAATAAAGAAAGAAGTACTCTCAAAGATTATGCAAGAAGTTAAAATAAATAAATAAATAAAGGCTTGGGTTTAGCCTAAAAAAGGGTATGAGTTAACTAACTAGTTGAATTTTAAGAATGAGTATTTTAAATGATCAAAAAATAAAGAGAATATTTTTCAGATGGTGAAAGACCAATACTCATGTGAGATACTAAGAAAATGGACATAGTAACTTACATAAAGCATTAGGTTATTCGCATACTACACTCTGAAGTAAAATATCTCCATTCACAGTTGTTTTTACACCCTATCAAGGTACCACACCACCACCTCCTTCCTTGGCACACCTCTTAACCACAAATCTCTTTCTGACATTAAGTAAGATCAGGCAGAAAGAAGCAAATTTACTGAACCTAAAAAAGACTTTATTTGCTGAAGCCAGGGAACTGCTTGGTAGGCCTCCCCAAATAAGCCATGCTCATGCATACATCTTGCTCCACACTTATCCTTCTCTTTCATGCATTAAGAAAGATTCTACCTTGTTACATTAAGTTAAAGGAAGACTCACTAATACACAAATCTCTCAAAGTCTGGCCATCACCCTCTGCTTCGTGAATCATACCATATTTCAGACAGCATGATTTTCCATTTTAGTAGGTCAATAGTTGGGTTCAATTAAAGGAAAGAAGTTAACTAAAATAATTTTTCTCAATCCAGCTAATACAACTGACTTTACGATGCTAAAAGGCAAAAAAAAAAAAGAAAAAGAGCCAACGTCCTTCAAGATTTTATTACATCCAATAAGGTTTAGAAAAAAAAAAGGGTTAAAAGATGCACCTCTTTAACAAAAATATCCCAGAAAAGTGGTCCAACAATAGCAGCCTCCCAGTTGTGTATGTGTAACACATCAGGCTGCTTTCCACATTTTACTATATAATCCAAAGATGCACGAGCGAAATAGGAAAATCTGAAAGAATCAAACAGATAACCAATCACAAAACAAACTGTGTACTAGCCTACCCATGACATTATAGTCAATCATTCATTTTACGCACAAATGTACTATACTGAGGCAATTCAGTCTCTTGATGTAAAGACCAAGACAAGTAACTGAAAAGTGAAACTTAAAATTTTCTCCAAATTTAAATTTTTTTTAAAAAAAAAGGGAATTAAAACCAAAAACATAAATTAGATATACTGGAAATAACTTTTAGAGCCAGTACACTAACCGTTCAAAGTCATCTGAATAACCATACAGCCTCTCCCGGCTGAAGAATGATGAGTAAAACAAAGGTTCAATAAGAGTAACTCCAATACCATAAACAACACTGGACAAGAAGAACCGAAAGTTAAGAAAGGTACAACAATTTCAATAGAAGAAAGAAATTTAGGGGTAAAAATGGTAGCTATGTTTTTATCCCATTAACAACCAAGTGGAAGAAAAGTTAATCATAAACTGTCACATATGTGATCAATAGAAACAAATTAAGAAACCTCACCCAGTCCAGATTTTATTTCCATGTAACTGACCATTAAAATACGAGTAAGACTCTGCCTCCATTTCCTGTAGTCCTTCAACTTCATCAAGGTCAAGGTTGGGATACCTATTCAGATAGTAACTTAATTTATGTCAATAAATTAGACGCATTAGCTTCACATTGTAAATTATTGAAATTATTGTCAGTAGTTAACAGCAATGCAAAATGTTATAAATTCTATTCATTGACAGAGTGATGCATCAATGAAACATATCATCCTGATGCTTTTGTTTTAGCAATTTATTATTCTACAATTTTATTACACCAAACAACACCAATAGTTACCTTATTCCCAACAATGGAAGAGAAAACACATAAAATTTGGCATCATTTTCATAAACATTCAAGAGATATATAGAGTTTGTATTTTAAACCAATACCAGCAAATTTTGTGCTAGAGACAGCAATTGAGTAATTCAATTAGGGTAGTAGACAAAGTTGAATGAGTCAATTCTAATCATCTTCAGTATATCACGCAGAAACCATGTGGAAGATAAAACCAGTGCCTTAATAAATTAGTATAGTCTCTAAGCATTTCTCCATTCTTCTCAAGATTCTTTCTCAAGAACCACAGGAAGTATCATTTCAGAAAATTCCTAATAAATATACTAAAATAAAGTCTAGATCTTCCACAACCAAGTAGGGTTTGCAACCAATTAAGTGAATAGAAAATGTGTTCCATTAATTACTTTGGCAAAATAACCTCCACCAAGTGGCCCTTCCTTTGCAATGCATGAGATAGGCCAGTCACATATGATGACAATGGGCCAACAGAAACCAGTGGCTCCATTTCAGTGCATATGTGGATAATGTAATAACCGTTCCTGTGTTAAAGATAAAACAAAATTGTTAAAAGAAGAAGGAAACTTAAATTGGAAAAGAAGAACAATGAGAAACAAAGCAAGAAAAAGAATTGAAATGCACAAATTATCAACAATGAGAAGTGCATGATCTAGGGGTTAAGACATTTGAGATTCTCCAAAAGATGCAAGAGCTCCCATTTAAAGAATTAGATTTCATCTATGACACAAGGCATCAAGGAATATGACCAAAATTTACAGGGAAGTGTTGTGCCAATTAATCAAAAAGAATTCTTTAACTCCTAGATATTGAAATGTCCTCCTTAGTTATATGGAAGAGGAAGGATAAATTTTACAATTGTATGGAAAGAAAACAACAAAATCAATACATTTGACTTGTCTGGATGTCTCCAATGTCAGATGGCATATGTGTATTTATGGTGCCAATATACACAAAATTTCTTCCTACATTGAGAAAAAGGAAGTTTCTAAAATACAAAGTTGGGACTTCTACACCATGCCATAATTTTGTATTTCCCATATTTAAAGTAAATTTTACTGTAAGCTCTACCAGACAATTTTACTTTTTGGTTCCCTCAGAGAATTGGCGGAGTTCTGCCAGAATCTCAGCATCTCTTTTCTGCAGGATATCAGAGAAGACATCAGCTAGGCTAACTTTGCGATCCATGACCAGCCTTCTCAAATCAGATGCTTCCACATTGCTAATCATCCCAGTGAGGACCAGTGAGTCTATCCGGAGAAGCAACTCCCAGCAAAGTGATATATTATCTGGTTAATGTAGGATTCCTTAGAAATGTATTGTTCGACTAGTACCCTTCACTACTTTTAGTTCAAAGATTCTTCTCTTTAAGAACATAGAAGTTGGCACAGAACAACACTGCTCTATAAATTCTCAACCAAAACCAAAGGATGAAAACAAGTCTTGCATGTACCAGCATTCATACTTGGGCTCATGGTAAAGTTTCCCTCACTAAACACACTCTTTGGAATCATTATCTAATAATAAAAGGCCCTATTTTTGATAACTCGGTTAAATTTTTTATTTGTCAGTTTCAGTTTAAAATCAATAACAAAACCAAGATACTAAAGGCAAAAAATCCTTCTGAAACATTTAAAATGAAATAAATGTTAGGCTTTTAATTATCTAGGTTGAAAGGGTTATTACCTTTCACACCAGGAATTTGCATTTTTGCATCCAGTTGCTGTATCCTATCAAGCAGCAACTGTTTCTCCCTGTTTGCTTTGTCCAGCTCCTCCAGAGCCACAAGCCTTTGTTTGTTCAAGTACAAAATGTCTGAAAAGAACATCATAAAACAACTCCATTATAAACAATCAGGCACTTGCATAGTTGCATATTCACACAGATGAAACTAACTTCACAAAATTTAAGTTGAGTATAAGCTAAAAACCTACTCTGTTGAGCTTCTTTGAAAAGCCGCCATATATGGTTGTCTTTCATTTCTGGCTTAACATTTGAAGATTGCAACTCTCCCTAAATCAAAAATCACAAAACCCTCCTCGTAAACAGATTCATCATGAGTTGCCTAAAGCAAAAACAACAAACCAGGTGCACCAACCTGAGACATTTCTGCATTCTCATGACCTTCTGACCTGACATGCATTGGAAAATGCAAATGTTGGAGATATATTAAGGGGATTTTGCTTAAAAAGAAAAAGGAAAAAGAAAGCTCACTCCTTTGAAGATGGGTTACTAGATAAGCCATTGAACTTGTCATTCTTCCTGCAAACAACATCAAGTACATAAATTGAAATTCCACTGTTCATCTATCTGAGAAAAGAAATCCAATATTATTACCTCAAACAACAAAGTGCTTGAAGTTTGACAAATTTCAGTCTTGGGTTGGGTGCGCTGTGATTTGGGAAAGGAGGAGTTGAAGGGATTGTGGTGGGGTGTGTCAAAGTTTGAGTTTTCATTAACATCTCGCCTGTAATAACACTTGAGGACAAGCGAGGAGATGAAGAAGAAGTAGATAGAAGGTAGAACTTCACGGTTGCTGCTTTTAAAATCCGACAACTCGGAAAAAGACCAAAGCTTTCTCATGTGACTAGTAACAGTTAAAATGATGGATGCACGCCAGCCGCTTCGTGAATGTTTGCTACAATAAAATCTCGTAATAATATGATGAAGTTTTTGTTAACCATTTTTCCTTTTTTTTTTTTTTTTATCATCTTCCGTCCCCCACTCGTTGATATGTGATAACACCCAATTCACAATGAACACAGAATTAGAGAGATAAACATGAGAAAAGAATTGTGAAGAGAGGTGAGATGAGAAGTAGGGTATTTGAATGGGATGAGAAGAGAAGGGAAAAAATTGTATAGAGAAAATTTTGTATGCACTTGACAGAATGATCCTGACTCTATGTACGGTCATCATACATCTTTATCCGCATACATTATCAATCCTAACTGCCTATCCTCCTGCCACGTTAGTTGCCCCGTTGTCAATCCTGTAATAATATGTAACTCCTTTTTTATTTATTTTAACAAATTCGTAAGACATCGAATTTTAACGGTTAGTCTGAAGTTGGGGGGAATGTACTTATATTGATCTTATGTCATGGGATCCAAAGGTTCAAGTGCAATATGTAACTCAATTTTTAGATTTTTTATTTTAGAAATTACTATTGAAATATTTAACTAATTAATTTTTATTAACCTTTTTTTTTAACATATTTATAAGGGAAGGGATCAAACCTAAGAGAGAGAAAAAAATACACATTTTTCAATATGATTAATATCAGTAGCTTCGAAAGGTAGATGCCTTTTATTAATTTTTTTATTGTTTATTTCTAACAGAAGTTTTATTTATAATCATACTCCTATATATGTTCAATTTTAATTGAATTAGTTTGATTAATTTTAATTTTAGATAAAAAAATTAATAAAATATATTAATGATAAAAGTTTAAGAAAAATTGCATTTAATTTTATTCTAATTCAACTTTTGTACAATAAAAAAGTCTTTTCCAGGAGTGACCCGAACAAAATTTGTAACTTACAATTAATTTAGTGCTTGCGGACCACTATTATAGTGCAAGGGTCATAAACTTTTAATTGTGATTGTTCTTCATCTTCCTTTCTTGCAATTCTTCTATTGTAGTACAAAAAGAACGCACATAAATTAATAAATAGAGTATTATCAATCCTAAACTTTGTCTTCTCTTCTTTGTGGAAACACAAATAATTGAGGTTATACTAACCTTCTTCTCTCCTCTTTCATAATCCCATCAAATTTTGCCTTGGTGTCATCACTCATCATCATCATCAAAGAACATACATAAACTAATAAAGAGATTATTGGTCAACTGTTCACATATTATGATTGATTTGATATAATTAGGTTGTTTTGTTCCTAAATTTTAGCTTCTCTTCTTTATGGCAACAAAAATAATTGAGGTTATACTAACCTTCTTCTCTCCTTTTTCATAATCACATCAAAGTTTGCCTCTGTGTCGTCGTCTTCCTTGTCCTCATTATCATCATCACAATCAGCATATCTTTGGGTGCTGTAAAAGGAAAAATGGTAATCAGCATATTCTTTTCTAGATCAAAACAGAAGAACCAATAAATTAAATCCTATATATTCCTTTGCTGATCCAAAAGCCTAGAGCAAGCTCATTCATATCCAATCCTTATCTTGAAATTGAAAACAGAAAACCCCTATTCATAAGATAGATATATCACTTATTCTATCTTTTTCATTACTACAATTCTATACAAACTCTTAAACAAGCCCACGCTATCTTCAAAAGCAATCATATGGAATAAAGTGGAGGAAAAGTGCATCATCAGAGATAAGCTTTGCTTGAACATTCTTCTGATTTCCTCAGATGATTTATTTTTCTTTGCCAACTTCCCCATCTACTCTCGGTTGCTCCTTTATTAATCGTAACTGTTCTTCATCTTCCTTTCTCGCAATTCTTGCATTGTAGAACAAAAAGAACATACAAAAACAAAGAATCATCAATCCTAAATAATTGCTTTAGGAGAGTGACGTTAATTTATACCAACCTTCTTCTTTTCTTTGTCACTCACGTTACTTCCATGATTAACTTTTGAGTTTATTATCTACAAAATATATAATTTAGGAAACCAAAATTCTAATATTGTTTGTTAAAAGACTAAAACCCTCAGAAATAACAAATTCAATGGTGCCAATTTAAGTTATTCCACCTCTATTGATCCAACTAGGACCATTTTTCCTCCAACGTGGCAATGACATGGTGCTAAGTAAGCATAGGTTAATGGATTAAGAACGAACATGACTATATGCCATCAATTTTGGATCAATTGTTTAAGTGATGTGTAGTTTAAGGGCTATATAACAGATGTTGTATGTTGGGGGACTAAAACCTTCAATGACAACAAGTTGGATGGTGGCACAGGGAGTTAAGCCCACTTTATCCAGATTTCCCCATATTACAGAGATTTAAGGCACCTAACTCGTACTTGAAAAGAAATTCTGCTACATTCCCAAGACATCACTGACATGGTACCCCAAACCAATAAAAACACAAGTTTTTTTCAAGCTTCATCAATCACCTAAGGTTAAATGCTAAATTTGGTCCCTCAACTTTAAGAAATGAACATTTTTGGTCCTTTAACAATTTTTTGCACTTTTTTGATCCCTCAACTATAAGAAATGCACTCCGTTAGTTCTTCTGTTAATTTGAGCCGTTAAATCTGCCATGTGGCATTTTTTATAATTTTTTTGATGACGTGGAGAACAAAATTTTAAAAAGTGCTGATATGGACGAAACGTATTGCCATGTAATGTTCCCGTGAGCCAAAGGCGCCAATCCACTGAAATGGGCCCCACGTTGCCTGCCGAAGCTCCAATAAACACGCGATAAACCCTGGGATTGCAGAGAAGTCTTTTGGCTTGCTCTTTCGGGAGAAAAAAAAAACCTAATAACTTCCATAGAGATTTTCCACTGCATTTTCGATTCTCCTCTTTGGGATTGCAGAGATTTTATCAGAGTTTATCCTATCTTCCTTGTTCAATTCTCCGATTCTCCTTCAAAGTTCAAACTCAAACCCTAGATTTGCTGTGATGCCAAGGATTTGCCAAGGGAATCGAAGTTGCGATTGTTGAAAAGTCACTCGAAAGTAGGATCGATGGACCTCAATGACCCCGAAATTGTTGATGTCGACCTGGAAACAAGCGAAGAGATTCTGGAAGACGAGGTATCGATATGGGTTCCCTTCTCCTTTTTTCTATTGTTGTCTAACTGATTCAGAGGGTACTTTTTTTACTAACATGGACCCTTGTCTGATAAAAGTGATGCAAAAATTTTGATGCATGTTGAATTGCATAACTAGTCGAGGAGAAAAGGACATTAGGTCCCCACTTAAATAGGAAGTTTGTGTCATTTATGTTTTTCCCATTTACTTTTGGGTTTAATAATAATTTCTTTATTGAGTAAAATTGTCTTAAAATTTTTGCTTTCAATGCTGCTGGTTTTCTGGTGTCTGCTGTGTTGACTCGCGTCTAGACCAGATCTGTATTGAATAATTTATTTTGTTTGTTTGCTTTATTTATTAGGGTGAGCATGATTCAGGAAATGAGGCAGAAACCAAATTTGTACCAATTTTCATTCATTTGGGTGGGAGGTTTATACAGGAAGCTGGTAATTCAATTTCATATGTTGATGGTGAATGTGATGACTGGATTATTAATAGGGATAAGTTTACACTGTTTGAACTTTATACTAAGATTGGTATTGCTGGATATGATGCTGATATGGTTGACCAAATATGGTATTTAGAACCAAGAAAAACAATTATAGATGGTTTGAAACCTATTAGGAATGATCATGACATTAGGGATGTTTTGGGGGTGTTGAAGGTGGAGAAAAAGGTACATATTTATGTGTCTCATGTCCCGGATTTTGCTGAAATTACACCAATCTTACCATTAC